TCTTACAGGACATAAATCTGTTCAGCTGCTGGTCCTGCGTGCTGGCCCTGCTAGCCCTCCTGCCGGCCCTGCGTCCGTGCTGCTTTACCATGCCCTATTCGAAAGCAAGCCCTTTCGCACACCGCCCGGGCCCCAACCCTTCAGGTAGGGGGCGGGGGAAGGGAGCAGCAAAGTTGAGAAGTGGACCCTCGGGGAAACGCGCCTGCTCGCGTCCCCGCGCCCCCCGTCCGTCCCGCTCCGCCCCGCCCCGCCTGCGAGGCGCGCCGTTAATGTGTTCATTACAGGGGTGCGGGCGAGTACGTGATGGTCGCGCCCGGCCCGGCGGAGGGCAGAGCCGCTCGCAGAGCCGGCAGGGCGACGCAGAAGTGGTAGTAATGCCGGCTCATCCGTCAGCCGCCCCGTCGGCCCCCGGAGCTAGCTCCGCGCGGCCCATCCCGACGGCACACTGCACGACGCTTTCCCCCTTTCTCGTCCGTATTGCCCAGTGGCCCCCGCCTGCCGCGTTTTCCTCGTGGCCGCCCGCTTTTCCTCGTGCCCGCCCGCTTTTCCTCGTGCCCGCCTGCTGTGCTTTTTATCGAGCGCCCCCGCGCGCCTCGCGACAGCAGCAGCAACAGAAGTCGCGCGCTTTTGAAGGAAGGATAAATAACACTCTTTTCGGGGCTTTTTGCTAATCCCCTCCTTTTCGTTTCCTCTTTCTATTTTTGCCCCTCGACAACAACTCGAATAATGATAGTATTTTCCCTTTATGCGAAACATTCCCCGCGCGCGCCGGCGGTACGGCGGCTCCCGCACCAGCCGAGAGGCAGCCGAGGCAGTGCCGTGGCCCGGGCAGGCCCGGCCGTCCCCGCGCCGGGGGATAATTAAAACAGAACAGCTCGGCGCGAGCAGCCGGGCGCAGCGCAGCCGGGAGCTGCAGCGGGGCGCGCGGATTTGTGACGCCGAGCGACGCCGTGCAGTGCATGACTCTGCCGCCGTGCTAATGAGGGCGCGGGGATGAATGGAACGGCAGCGGTAGCGGCCTCGGCCGGGTGCAGCCGGAGGAGGACCGGGAGGACCGGCGGCAACACCACCACCGGGTCGCCGGCCGCGCCATCATCGCCCACCAGCGGCAGCGGCCCCGCCACGGAGGCTCGGGAAGGCATCCTATTAACACCTTCCCGGCTCTGCTCTGCAGAACACGTTACAAATGCCGGCAAATGCGAAATGTTGAAGAGTCCGCGTTGTAGGTCACCCTATGTCGCCTTCTTGTTTCCGGAAAATTTAGGTCAGAATTGTTGCTACGTGTTTTAAGAAATTATTTTTCTGGGTGTGGGCCGTTTTATTCTTGGAGAGCCAAGGAAAAGGATGATTTCTTTTCTAAAGCCAAAACTTTTGGAGGGGGCCTTAAACCTGTCATATCTCGCGGCCAGGCTTCTCCGTTTGGCACAAGCGAACTCTGCAAAAAATCTGTAATATGCAACTGATTCCTGCTGCCAGCCAGTTCACCTTTGACCTCGCCCTGGGTTCCTGAACAGGAATGGTCGTCGCGCTCGGCATAATGATTCGGCCGATGAACCCGCCTCTCACTGTACTAACGCCATTCGACGCAGAGCGGGTACAGTCTCTTAGAATAATCGCCAGTTTTAGACTGCGTGCAAGAATCACTTGCTTCCATACTTTTTAAACTAGGGTATGTTGTGTTTCTGATTATTTGCGTTTCAAAAAAAATTAAGTGATGTAGTCTAGGGCGTTTGGAGTACCCGTCAATCATACTCTCAGATCTGCCGCAATAATTAAGTATCGAGACTCGGATCTTATGATGGTTT